TGGAATGTGCAAATTATTGAATAATATCACTAAAATCACATGCAGGTAAAATTATTTTAACATAATTCAAAACAACTGCAGCAGTGCAATGACAGGAAGCTGCTAGAAACTCAAGCTGGATTCTGAAAAGGACATCAAGCAAGGGATATCATTGCTGATGTCAGATGGATCGTGGAAGCAGTAGTCAAGAAATCAAATGATGTATTAGGCATATTTGCTGTAAAAGATCTCTTCAAGGTCTTCAAGAGCAAAGTTTGAGGACTCAGGTGTGCCTGATCAAAACCATAGAGTTTTCAACAGATTCCTCTGGATCTAGGATTGAACCTCAATGTAAAGAAATAAAAAATCCTCACAACTGGACCAATAAATACCATCTTGATACGTGGAGAAAAGATCGAAGTTGTCAAAGACTTCATTTTGCTTGGACCCACAATCGACACTCATGGAAGCAGCCATCAAATCAAATGATATTCTGCACTAGGCAGGTCCCACATGAAAGCTTCCAGCTCTCGTGCAGTCTTGGGTTGGTCTCCTGGGTTTGCTGCTATGGTTTCTCTGACACTGCTTCTCATTGTCTGTCCGTCTCCAGTTTTACAGCTCTCGTCATTTCCTTCTGAGCCCTCATTGGAATGGCCCTTGACATCCATTATTCCACCACCAGTCTCTTAGGCAGCTAGGTAGTTTTTCATTACTTTGCTCATTATCCAAATAGAGAACGAGTTTTGTGGTCTTTGATCTCCATCAGTATTAAGTCCTTTTCACTTTCAGCAAGCAAGGTTGTATCATTTGTATATCGCAGGTTGTTAATGAGTCTTCCTCCAATCCTGATGCTTCCTTCTTCTTCATATAATCCAGCTTCTTGGATTATTTGCTCAGCATACAGATTGAATAAACACGGTGAGAGATAACAACTCTGGCGTACACCAGATATTTTCAAGGTCATATTTTGGCTCTCGTGTACGTGTCTTGTAGTTTTCTTCAGCGTCAGCCTGAACTTGTATGTGAGTAATTGATGGTCTGTTCCACAATCAGCACCTGGCCTTGTTTTAGCTGATGAGATTGAGCTTCTCCATCATCTCTTCCCACAGATGTAGTCAATTGGATTCCTGTGTATTCCATCATGTGAGGTCCATGTATATAATTACCTTTTACTGGTTGGGGGGAAAAAAAAGGTATTTGAAAAATTCTATCATGAAATCTCCATCATTGTTTCTATATAAAGGACATAGTTTCCAACTATTGATCCTTCCTCTTTGTTTTCCCACTTCCCCATTCGAGTCACCAGTGATCATCAATACATCTTGATTGCACGTTTGATCATTTCAGATGGAAGAAATTGTTAGAATTCTTCAGTTTCATCTTTACTGATTTTTGCGGTTGGTGGGCAAATTTGAATAACAGTGGTATTAACTGGTCTTCCTTGTAGATGTATGGATATTATCCTATTGCAGATAGCATTGTACTTCAAGATAGACTTTGAAATGCACTTTTGATGATTAATGCAATGCCATTTTTCAATTTGTTGTTCCTGGTGTAGTAAATCATACAATCGTTTCATTAAAATGGCCAATACAGTCCATTTCAGCTCACGAAGCCTACGATATCAATTTTTATGCATTCCATTTAATTTTTTATGACTTCCAATTTTCTTAGATTCATCATTCATACATTCCATGTTCTCATTATTGATGGATGTTTGCAGCCGTTTCTTTTCATTTTGACTTGTGCCCCATCAGCAAATGAAGAGCTCAAAAGCTTTGCTCCATTCACATCATTAAGGTCAAACCTTTGAGAAGTCACCTCCTCTCTAGTCGTATTTTAAGTGTCTTCCAACCTGAGAGGCTCTTCGTCCAACACGATATCTAACAATGTTCTGAGGCTACTTCTAAGGTTTTCAATGGCTAATCATTCAGGAGTCATCTGCTTCTCCTTCTTCCTAGTCTGGAAGCTCTGTTGAAATTTGTCCACCATGAGTGACCCTGTGGTATTTAAAATACCTGTGGAATAGTTTCCAGCATCAGAGAAACACACAAGCCATCACAGTATGGCAAACTGACAGATATATGTATGATCATGGGCAATTACTACCTCTTAACTGCCAGAGTAACACAAGACCTTAATTCTCACAAACTGGTAACCAAAAGGTTGGCAGTTGAAGCCCACCAGCTTCTCTGTTATACAAAGATTTGCGGCCTTGGGAGCCATGTGGGAGCAGGTCTGGACTATTATAAGTCAGAAGAAGAGTTGCATGTGGGCAGAATTTCAGTCACTAAGAACACATGGCGCCAGCAACTCCCGGCATTGCTTAATCAGACAAAAACACAAACAGCTCATCACTCACAGGCAGAGGCTGCTTCATTCCAGACCCAATCTAACTCCCCTCTTATTACTGAAAAGTTTCCATTCCCTCTAGCGCAGTCAAAACTTACTTACGCCCAAACTTCTGTCACCTGTGGCCTGATATAAATTCTCTCGCTGGCGTCTTTTCCCAAAGCGGCTTGTTTTCCCACCATTTCCCGAGAGGGTTGAATAATTGGTCCTAATTGCACAGGTATTAAAGGAAACCCTATACACTGTAACTTTGAGTGAAAACCGACTCGATGGCACTTAACAACAACAACAACAACAGAAGTGCCTGTGCTGTCTACTTTCAGAGTCCCAGAGGGAGCTGTTAGGAAGGTTTCAATGAGCCCCAGAGAGCATGGCTTAGTGTCTGCCAGATGAGATGCTAAATTGGAATCAAAAAGTTAACTCTGAACATATGCAAAACATGGTTTATCAATTCCCTGCCTGGAGGATGGCTGACTAGTTTTCATTGCCTATTTATAAACAGTTTTACTGCCTGTTTCTGATCATGAAAGTTATATATATGTGTGTGTGTAATAACACGTATTGTTGTTGTTAAGTGCCGTCAAGTTGGTTCCGACTCATAGCTACCCTGTTTAGGGTCTTTGAGGAGCAGCTGGTGGGTTTGAACCGCTGACCTTGTGATTCGTAATCCTGTGCTGACCTTGTGGACTGCCGAATTATGGTTCGCAGTCCATAAGGTTGGCGGTTCAAACCTACTAGCTGCTCCTCAGACATCCTAAACAGGGTGACTATGAGTTGGAACCTACTCGATGGCATGTAATAACAACATACATATAATGGAATCTTGGTGTGGCACTGTGGGCTACTGCCTTGGATTGCAAAGTCGGTTTCAACCTCGAGGTTGGCGGTTCAAGCTCACCAGCTGCTCTTCAGAAACCCTATCCAGGGTCACTATGGGTCAGAACAGACACGATGGCACTTAATAACAAACAACTTATATATGAAATCCGTATATATGTGTGTGTATATAATATATATATTCTGGTAGTGTAGTGGTTACGAATTGGGCTGCGAACCTCAAGGTCAGCAGTTCTAAACTACCAGCTGTTCTGTGGGAGAAAGATGAGGTGGTCTGCTCCCATAAAGATTTACAGCCTCGGAAACCCTGTACAGGGTCGCTATGAGTCAGAACCGACTCCATGGCACTTAACAACAACAACAACATATATATATGAAATCCCATATATTATATATATAAATCCCTTTCTGTCTTATATTATATACTTTACATTATATATATAAAATGTATTATATTGTATGGAGCTACTGCGCAAAGATTTAAAGCCTCAGAAACCATATACAGGATTGCTAAGAGTCAGAACCCACTCCACAGCATTTAACAATGATATTATATATTCTATAATGGCACATCATTATATTTTGTATCACATAATATTGTTGTTGTTATGTGCCTTCAAGTCAGTTCTGACTCACAGCGACCCTGTATAGGGTTTCTGATGAGCGGCTGGTGAGTATGAACTGCTAACCAGCAGTTAGCAGTCCCGTGCTTACCCGACAGCACCAAACCAGGATACGTAGTAATTATGACATATACTATAATTAAATGCAATTTATTATTATGCATATTACAATTATGATGTGCTATTATTACATTAAGGAGCTCTGGTAACGTAGTGGTTACAAATCGGGCTGCGAACCGCAAGGTCAGCAGTTTGAAACTACCAGCTGTTCCGCAGGAGGAAGACAAGGCTTTCTGCTCCCGTAAAGATTGACAGCCTCGGAAACCCTGTACAGGGTGGCTATGAGTCGGAAGTGACTGCACAGCACATAACAACAACAACGATTATTACATTATTGTATTGTATTGTGTTACAAGAGTCCGTCAGAAAGTCTTGGTCTAGGGTTCCCGTTCATACATGCATGGTTTTATTCCAAACAAAACATGTTTAAACAAGCTTTCGCAGTCAGTAGTGGATGGCTGCAGACAAGTTTCCTGTAATACACTACTTTTAGTCTTGTTCGGGTACTTTTCACACACAAAAAAGATCCTATCAAAACAGTCGCTTCGGAGGGCATTTTTTGGGCCAGTTAAATTCACGATAGAGAGGTCAGCCCAGAAGATTACGGGTTGGGGGTATTCCAAAGAGTTCACCTTAAACAGATTTTCTTGAAGGACACAGGACGATGATGGGACTTTATAATGAAGTTTTAAGAAAACAGAAAACTACCAGGAAAGTTGTACCTTCTCATTCTTTGTGGGTAGCAAGCGCTGTCCTACGGGACATCGCTGAGAAACTTTACCTCATCCATCCTGCGAAAACAGAGGAAGAATCCCTCCAACAAGATGAACTGATACGGTGAAAACGACAACACTGGCTACAAATAGAACAAGTGTAAGGATGGTGCAGCCCGCGCAGGGCCGGGAAGTATTTCGTGGTCTACTGTGCAAGGAGTCACTATGAGCAAGAACCTACAGCATGGCACCTAACAAGAAGAAAACCCTATGAAATAGTTCTACTTTCACACCGCAAGGGGTTTGATTTGGGTTACTTACTATACTCCCAGTGTCCTGTGGCGCTTTAGGATAAGCACTGGACCATAATGTAGACGGTTCAAATCCAGGAGCCGCTACACGGAAACTTGACACCACACTCCCAGGGAATGAAAGCATGGCCCCTTTAAGAGGAAAAAGCCCTGCCGTGTCCGCTGTGATACAAGACGTCATTTCCCAGCGCCCTTCACAAGACAGCAGTCGCCTTGAACATCTAGGAGGGATGCCCTGCGTGCGGGCCTATGGCACTGTGGGGACTACATTACCCAGAATCCTCTGCTTCGTAAACCCCGTTGGCCCTTGGCTATTGAAAGCTCTAGAAAGGGACATGATTTCCGGTGCCCTCCGGGAAGTTACGTTTTGCTTAATCCCGCGGATTCCAGGCTCTGGGTCATTGTGAAGGGAAGAAGCGCGTGGAGACGTTGTTCCCACAGCCCAGAAGCCGGTCTGCGGTGGTCCCCGGCTTTGTCGCCTGTCCTCCCTTGGCCACCCACCTCTGTTGCCAGTTCCCGATGGTGGCGGCCGCGATGACGAGCCTGGCTTTGGTGGGTGTTGTGTACCCGGGTCCTGATCCACCAGGCCGTAACCCTCGAATTCCAGTCCCTCGAATTAGGGGCACCTGCTCACATCCCTTGTAGCCCAGGCTCCCGTGTCCAGCCGCAGGTGGGACGTCCAGTCCAAAGGGACCCGCACTGGCAAAGGCGAGGGGGCGCGGCGCCCCGAGAGCGCTTGGGAGATTGGGGTGTGTGAGCAGGACGCGACCTCAGACCAGAGGCTTTAGGACCCAGGATGGTTGTGAACCGAAGGGCCACGGCCACAGTTAGATTTGTTCTGGTATCCCAGAGGCCTTGGTGAGGAGCCACTGAGGGTAGGCGGGCAGTTGGAGGTCTTTATGCTCCAGGGCAAGGCTGGGGCCTTCAGTGTTTGCTTCCTTCTCACAGCCACCCTCTTCCCACAGGTCTCCAGGAACTCAGAAGTGACTGCCGATTCTAAACAGGTGAGGGGAGGGGATCTGGACACTTGAGTTCCCAATGAAATACTTCCCAGGATCATGAGGTTCTGGAAAACTTTTCCTGCTACTCATCCAGCTCTTGGGTCTGAGGATCCTGGAGAAATTACCAACCCACAGTCCTGCGTGCAAGCCATAGGTTACAAAGGAGGTGTGGAAGGCTGTTCTGGGCACCTGATGAGACGGGGTGTTCAAGAGACTGGTCTATTTTTCCTGGGAAGAACGGAGAACAGGAGCCAGGCCTGAAATGTCAGTCTGAAGAGCTGGGCTTCTATCCCAAGGGTGTTGGAGCCATGGGAGGTGTGGAGCAGAGGGTGGGGGTGATCTGACCTACGTCTTCACAGGCTGCCTTAACGTCAGACTCAGTCCGCAGCAGTATTATGGGATCAAAATGACAATAGCAGTTGTCACCAAGGAGAAAAGTTATTAACAGACATCTTTGATTTGGGGGTTTTCTTAGGCATGAAACCAAATATTTACTGTGAACAGACTCTTGACCAAAATTAATCTGCCAGTAACTTTTCTTTCACCCAAAGTTGCTAATCTTTTCTTTCCTGTTTGAGGCCATGCATACTAAATTTGAATTCCAAAATATATGGTGAGGTGGCAGGCCAAAGATTATGAGACTATATTGTCAACTGATTTCCCCTGATCTTAGTAAAAGAGGGGGAAAAAAAAAAGCACCAAACATCCCACAGCCCTCTTGAATCATCTGGGTTCAGTAATCCACTGCAGTAGCCACATAGAACTCAGACACCTTATTCACAATTATGGAGACATTAACAGGTTTGAATTCAGGGTCAGAAATGTTTAGGGTGTTGCTCTTCCAGTTAAGACAACCTCTCCTTACCTGTGTCCACAGGGCTGTTAGAAAGCTCTTTTATGTACTGATAAATGCCCACAGGACACTCCACCAAAGCCTCAGCCTGAAGGCACTCGGCTCTAGCTCTGTGGGTCAGCAAACCTAGCTCCCCCAATTACGAACCTGGAGGCAGCCCACTCTACAAGGACGCCTCCTGCCCAGAGTCACTCAGCTTTCCTTGCTCTGTGGGCTGGGAAGCCCACTGCTCTGTCTGCTGCTCCTCTGCCCCACCTCGGGTGTCACAGCTTTCTGTCTCTGGGTCGAGGTGGTTCAATGCTCAGGGACCTCAGGGTCCAAAGGATGTGCTCCACTCCTGGTTGTTTTTCATGCTTCTGCGATGGCTCATTTTATACATGTTAGAATTTCAGGGTTTTACAACCATAGTTAACCGTGTTAAGCACTTACAACTGAATCACATAGTCCTGTTAGCATCTTCTCTCACCTTCTCTCACCCAGACCCAGTAGAACAAAAACATTTAGTGGGAGTTACAGACTATGACTAGAAGATACATTAAACAATTCACTATACCATAAGGGTTCAGTAAATCATGCTAAACTTAGTCAGTGATTGATCTATAGTTCTCCCTCCTCTTTAAAAGCCTCATTGTGTATTGAGCTAAAGGGGTCTGGTAGTACAGTGGATAAGAACTTGGCTCCTAAGGGAAAGGTTGGTGGTTCAAAACCACCGGCTGCTTCATGGAAGAACGGTATGGCAGTGTGCTTCCGTGAAGAATCGCACCCTTGGGCACCGTGTGGCACAATTTTACTCTGTCCTGCAGGATCACCAGGCGTTGGTCAAGTCCACAGTAATGGGGCCAGTTTGGGTTGGGCAGTACGAAATGAACCAGAGGAGTGGCGTGTAGGTGGGAAGGGATAGTTTGTCTTTTTAAGTAGGGCTGGCCGGCTTCTCTGAGGGAGAGAAAAGGGGAGGAGTGTGAGAAGGGTAGCTGCTCTGCCAACTGCAATGAGCAGTGAGTGGTAGGAGCGTTCCGTGTGGACCTGAGGTGATTTCCAGCAACGTGGAGACCGGCAGGTTCCAAAGAGCAGTGAGCAAAGGCACTTAGTGGGTGTTCTGCAGAGGGGCTGAGGAGCAGGCGAGTTGGTTCCAACCCCTAGTGATGCTGTATAGGGTTTCCGAGTAGCGGCTGGTGAGTTTGAACCACCAACCTTGCCATTCAAACCGACCTTGTGGTTGAAAGCTTACCCTCCAGGGCACACCAGGACTCCAGTGAAAAGGTGGTGATGGTGGTTGGTGGTGACGTGTTGTGGAGTCAGCTCTGACTCAATGACCCTGTATAGGGTTTCCGAAGTACCGAATCTTCACGAGAGCAGAAAGCCTCATCGTTCTCCTATGGAATGGCTGCTACCAGCTACCTAACCACTACGCTCCCAGAACACCTAATTAAAAGGTCATGAAGTGTTTTCGAGTCAATTCTGACTTATAGCGACCCTGTATAGGGTATCTAAGGAGCAGCTGGTACATTTGAATCCCTTACCTTGTGGCCCAGTGCATTATCCCACAGCGCCACACCAGGACTCCAGTGAAACATGGTGTTGTTATGTGCCACTAAGTCAGTTCTGACTCATAGCGACCCTGTGTAGGGTTTCTGAGGAGCGGCTGGTGAACTTGAACCGCTGACCTTGTAGTTCAAACCGACTTTGCAGTCCAGTGCGGTAACCCACAGCACCACGCCAGGATGTTCAATACCATGTCCCTTAAGCATTATACTCTTTAAGACCTGTGTGCAGTCCTGGTGTGGCGCTTTTGAACCATAAGGTCAGTGGTCCAAGCTCACCAACAGCTCTCGGGAAAGCCTACACAGGCTCTCTGTGAGTCAGAACCAACTCCGTAGCACTTACCCATCAACAACATGTGGGCTCAGATTGACAGCAGCGACTGGAAGGATTGGAAATCAGGGGGCTGAGTTCCTGCTGGGGAGGAGCAAGTCAGAGAACGAGGGTGACGATGGTCACACTCCTATACGATCCTTATCACCGAGCTGCACCTGTAGAAATTGTTGACTTGGTGTATGTTCTCAACAAGCAAAAACCACGCAATGAAAGGTAAGGTACAAAGACTGCGGTTGAGGACTGGGGTTCTTCACTGCTACTGATGACCCAGGAAGGAGGCCACTGACTGAGTAGGGGTCCACAGGTGTGAGGCAGGTACCACCAAAGAGCAGAGAGTAGGGGCTGCAAGGATGAAGGGCAGCGCTGCTCTGCTTTGTGACAAGCACTCTTAGAAATGCCTGGGGAATCAGTTAGTGGGAGATGGGTGGGAACCGACATGCCAAGCCCAGAGCTTAGATGGCAGCTGTCTGTCCACCTCCCTGTCCTTGATGTGGGCTGATACTGGTCAGTGGGACCATGAGGAGATAGCAGGTCCCAGTGACACCAGGGCCTGGGAAGACAGGCTCTTCATGCATTTGGCTCTCTGCATTGTGGCAGGGACAGGTGACCTTTGAGGACGTGTTCGTGTACTTCTCCCCAGAGGAGTGGGGGCTACTTGATGAGGCTCAGAGACTTCTGTACCGGGATGTGATGCTGGACAACTTTGCCCTCATGGACTCGCTGGGTAAGGCCCTCGCACTCACCCCAGTGTCCGTGAACTGGACTCTGCCCTTCCCCAGCTCCTGGAGAAGGCCCGCGGGATGCAAGGATGGAGGCACCTCTGGTCAGCTCACTGATGACAGCTACCTGGCCCTCTCCCTGAGTGGCTTTGTTCACCTAGCTGGCCTTCCCTTCCTCAGCTCCCTCGAGGAACTGCAGGTACCAGCGTGGTCACAGCTTGCTGGACCCTCTTCTGAGACCACAGTGCTCATTTTCTCTTCTCTCTGGGTGCCACTCACCTCTCCAGTCTTTCTCGTTAGACACACACCTTCTGTCCCAGGTGGTTGCCCCTCAGGTAGAGCTGGGCTAGGAGCCCTGGGTTCCTGACTGGCCAGACAGGCTACGATTAGGTTCAGCCAGATGAGCAGGGCTGAGGGAAAGCCTGAAGTACTTGAATTCTAAAGCATGCAGGTTGTCAGACTACATGAAGGGGAATAAGAACACAGAGTCGAGTGAGGCTTCTAAATGAGTAAGATAGAAGCAGGCCGAAGCCGTTAGCGTCAGGTAATTCTGCCTCAGAGCAGCCCCACTTGCCGGAGCAGACCGGCCTGACAGGGACCCAGGCTGGAGTCTCCACAGGAAGAGACTGTCACATTTCTCTCCTGCGGAGCCACTGGTGGGTTCATAGCGCCCACCTGCAGCTAGGACCTGGTGTCTTCACTGGTGTGCCTCCAGGGTGCCGTCAGCACCAGTAACTCAGTTGGAAGTGGACTTTCTGATCCTGGACACAGAGACCTGCAAAGCTCTGTGGCCAGCAGCTTGTCTCCACTAGAGCCCATGTGTGGTGACTTCACCGGAGGTCCTGCCTCTCCTGTGAGCTCCTGACACATGTGGCCTCTCCCAGTCAAGTGTGACCCTCACATGCCAACTACTGATGTTGGTGGGTGCTTTTGAGTTGGTTAGGACTCCGAGTGGCCTGGCCCTGCCCCGTACTGTTGGCTTAAGCTGGCCATTTTACAGGGGGGCCCTGGTGTGCTACTTTAGGATCGGTATTGAACTGCTAACCTCAGGGTCAGTGGTTCAAACCCACCGACTCCTCTTTGTTGTTGTGACGTGCTCTCGAGTGGGTTCCGAGTCCATACAGGGCTGCTGTGCGTTGGAACCGACTCAACGGCACTTCATTTTGCTAGGAATAGATCAGTTGGTCTTTTCTCCTTCGGAGTCGCTGGCTGGATTTAAGCCGTCGACCTTTCCGCTTGGTCTCAGGCCCCTCGCCCTGACTGCAGCCCTGTCAACTTGATCTTCGTTGTGTGAGGCCTGCCCCCCACACCAGGGGTCAGCGTGAATGTCACCAGTGTTTCTCTGCTTTCAGCTTGTTGGCGGGGAGAGGACCAGGAGGAGGAGGAGACACCGTCCACGCACAGGGTCTCTATGGGAGTGTTAGGGGTCAGGACTCCACAGGCAGCACTGTCCACTCAGAAGGCCGCTTCCTGTGAGACCTGCGACCCAGTCTTGAAGGACATTTTACAGCTGATTGAGCAGCAGGGCGCACACTTCAGGCAGAACCCGAGCATGTGTATGGCATGTGGCAGACAGTTCTGGCTCAGAGTAAACCTTCCCCGGCATCAGAAACCACAGAACAGAGAGAAGCGCTTCAGAAGGCCCAAAGGTGGCCCCTGTCTTGTACAGAGCCATGCCCACCCATCAGAGATGCCCTTCATGTGGATGGAAGGTGGTAAAGACTTCCCAGCCAGCTCAGGTAGGCTCGAGCAGCAAGTGCCTCCAAGTGGATGGATGCCACAAAGCAGCACCAAGTGTGAGGAGACCTGTCCCAGCGGGCAGAAGCAGTATCAGTGCAGTGAATGTGGGAAAACCTTCAGCCGCAAAGACTCGCTTGTTCAACACCAGAGAGTTCACACTGGAGAAAGGCCTTACGGCTGTGATGAATGTGGGAAGACCTTCAGCCGCAAACCCATACTTATTCAGCACCAGCGGATCCACACTGGAGAAATGCCGTACGAGTGTGGCATATGTGGGAAAGTTTTTAATCACAGCTCCAACCTCATTGTTCACCAGAGAGTCCACACGGGAGCCAGGCCGTACAAGTGCAGTGAGTGTGGGAAAGCCTACAGTCACAAATCCACACTGGTTCAGCATGAGAGTGTGCACACTGGGGAGAGGCCGTACGAGTGCAGCGAGTGTGGGAAATACTTTGGTCACAAGTACAGACTCATTAAACACTGGGGTGTCCACACTGGGGCCAGGCCTTACGAATGCATTGCATGTGGGAAGTTCTTCAGCCAAAGCTCCGACCTCATTGCGCACCAGAGGATTCACAACGGTGAGCGGCCTTTTGTGTGTAGTGAGTGTGGAAAGGCCTTTAGCCACAAACATGTGCTTATTCAGCATCGTAGGATTCACACTGGTGAAAGGCCCTTTCAGTGCAGTGAATGTGGGAAAACCTTCAGGCAAAGGCCTTCCCTAATACGGCACTGGAAAGTTCACAACGGAAAAGGATCTTAGGAGTGCAAGGAATGGGCTGTTTCTGTTTCCCAGGACGGACACCAGAGAATCTCTGAGAAGAATCTGTAAGGCGCTGCCAGCCAGAAATTGAACCTCATGCCTGTGAACAGTAGCCCGGGGGGGGGTGGGGGGGGGGGGGAAGCTTTCTGGAGCCATGGTACTTCCCAAAACCACGTGGAAGTGGCATTCTACCCGCCGGGAAGGCCCCACGCTCTGTGAGGCAAACCTCTGCTCTTCTGCCTTCCCTGGTGGCGGTGGTGTGCCGAGGAGTCGCTTCCGACTCATAGTGACCCTGTGTAGGGTTTCTGAGGCTGTAAATTTTTATGGGAGCAGAAAGCCTCATCTTTTTTGGTAGTTTTCTTGTAGTTTGGAACTGCTGACCATGAGATTAGCAGCCCGATCTCTCTTCCTTCGAGGGGATCATAAGCACATGAGTCTATTTTCCCTGCTCCCAGACTGCTTTACACAAGGGTGTGATGATATTTGGGCCAGAGGATACAATTTGTTTTGGCAGCTTATGGAGAAGGGTTCCTTCTTCCAGGACAGTGTTGGTCTCATGTAACACTTGTGACAAATATGTCCAGTGTCCAAGACTGACTGCCTCAAGTTGTTCTAGTTTTGCAACAGATGCCTTAATTTTAATCTCTCCTTGATTTAGGGGGTTCTGTTCACTTTGTAAAGGAGCCCCGGTACTATAGTGGTTTACACATTGAACTGCTAACTACAGGGTCAGCAGTTGAAATCCATCAGCCTCTCCGCGGGAGAAAGATGAGGCTTTCTGCTTCTGCAAGGGTTTACAGCACACAGCAACAGCAGTTAACTTTATGAGGTGTTGGTGGTGGTGTGGGATAAGCATTGGGCTGCTAACTGCAAGGTCAGTGGTTCCAACCCACCAGCTGCTCAGCAGAAGCAAGCCGAGACACTCTGCGCCTGTAAACATGTAGTCGTGGAAACCCCAGGTAGGTGTGCTGTGAGTCCGAATCAGCTCCAGGGCAGTGACTTTGGATTTAGGTTGGCGTTGTGGGCTGGGTAAGAGCAGCATTGTGTTCTGCTAGCTTAAAGAGACCAATCATCGGGGCTGCAAGTCTGTGTGTCTTCCAGATGATTGTAGGATGACAGAAAACAGCCATCGGTCTTGTTTCGGCCTCCTTTGCAATGCTGACTGAGGATTTATAGATTGTATTAGTACTGAGTCTTCTGGGCCTAAACTTGTGGCCTGCACATCAGGATGATGGGAGTGACCCAGGTCACGTGAACAGTGTTTGTTTTCTGTGACGACATGAATTGTGTCCCTTGGTACGAGGGACTTAGTTCTTACTCCCTAACCCTCTTGAGAACTTGGTGCTCCATTAACTTGTATTGAGACTTGCTTTATGACCCTAAATGGTTGTCTTGGTAAATGTTTCATGGTGAAGGGCTTTACAGATGTCACCCTTGTCAAGATGGTTAATAATGTCTAAGCTTTTTTTGTCTTCACGACAATTCTGTTTCCTTCTGTCACTTGTTTAGGATGGACTGATCACTTCTCTGGATATAAAAACCGATTTGTTTATACTATGTGCAGTTCTGTCAGTTTCGGCTTCGTATATTTTGGAACCCTTTATTAGGTAAAGAAATACTTTCTGTGGACATACCCTAGAAGACCTGCTGGCATAACACTTAAGTGCTTGCTGCTAACGGAAGGTTGGCGGTGTGAACCCACCAGCTGCTAACGGAAGGTTGGCGGTGTGAACCCACCAGCTGCTAACGGAAGGTTG